GGAAGTTAATTTTTAAATTTATAAAATTAAAACCGACGTGCATGTATAATGGTAATGAATCTTTTTACTGTACCAAGCCAACGAGTTTTTCTTCATACCTAAACGATCTCCAGCAAGTTATTTTACGTTTATTACGCCTTCCATTTTACTACCAATGTGCCCATAGCTCACGGCGTAATAAATAATAAATTATATCCATCCGTATACGTATGCCTGTACGTGTGCCCATCCTCTTATGATTATTAACACTAACAAATAAGTTCCTCCTTCGTATACGAGTTTGGTAAACGGTAAAAAGGAGTTAAAGACTTGAGCTTCATGTTGCGATGGTTATTCACACTTGGTACGTAGGTGAATCAGAATTTTTGTTTTGATTAGAAGGTTCTATCTTTGCTGTGTGTAGTATTATTATTAATACTTACTATCATCTTATTTTAACTCATAGCTAAGCACGATTCAATGAAAAGGTTCTTTTGAAGAGTCGTGGATGAATGGGCTGACGGTTAATAAATTATTTATAACAATGCGCAGTTCGTAAGGCTGAACTGTGCAGAACTGAAGCACCCTCCGTATAGTCCTGTTTTGTCTACTTATACGTACTATAATTATAACAGTACCCATGTAATTTAACCCTTAGGTGGGAAAAATAAGAAATCCTTTCTAAGATAAATTTTGCATAGAAGATATTATCCAAAACAATGCAAAAGATATTTCGGTCCGGTTAAATATCATAAGAAATACCTACTTAAAACCTGAAACCTTTATGTAACCAGACATTTGAAAATATTAATGATATGGAAGAATGATTGGAAAAGGCACTTTTCAATGAATAATTGAATGATCTGACAGAAGGTGTAAAGACAAAGTCGAAAATTTTAAAATTAACTAGTAGATCTAGATTAGATTACTGTTCGCCAAACAAAGATGTAAGTTGTTTTAGTTTTCCAGAAATATGCGAAGATTGATATGTGACCAAACGATCTTCGGATATAAGATCTTTGATGATGTTTTTGGCCTCTTTGTGTGTAATATGTGTGGACCTAGAAGTATTTGAATTAATTTTGGTCTTACCCATAACTGCTTCTTTTTTTATGTGGACTATTACAGTTTTCGCCAAAAGGAATTCCCAACAATTTTATCTCTCTCTTGTCTTTAAATGGAAAGACTTTGCTCACGCTTGGTTTACTTTCTTCCAAGGGACTAAGGTCACTGGTTTCTTGCCGTGATCATTTTATATGTCTACTCGCTACCGAAATACTACAGAAGAAAATAATTTTGTAATAATCGTTCGGTCCATGTAACAAGTAACATGATTTTTGCTTGCAATAATTTTTTACGAAGACATATTCGATATTTCCTCACATGATTGGCGTTAGTCAACTGGGTCGGAAACATATTTTTTTGAATTTCTTGTGAAAGAAACTCGAGTCCGGCTGCTTGTTATGTCCACACATTTCAACTTTGCAACGTACTCCGTTTTCCTGGAGTTACTCCATTCAGTCGGCGGACGCCTATTGAATAACGTGTTTCGTTATTTGAATTAATCGGCAATCACGATCCATTATTTACTTCGTGCCTTTGCAATTTCACGTTTATTATGCCTTTTCGGCGTCGTCGTAGCGAAACTGTATAAATAATTCGGACGCGGTTCAGTACAAGTCTAGAAGTGGAACAATGAAGCATTTCATTGTGTTCTTAATTTTTATCGGTTCTGCATTTGGTAAGTCTTAAACTTAATTAAATATTAATTAATAAGGCATGTGTCTAAAATGTTTTCCATTAGAATAATTGTTTTCACTCTCAAAATCGTAAAATATTTGTATTTCAATTTAGTTGCTGTTTCAGTCGCTCTTTTAGATTTGTAAATTTATTTTAATTATGTTTTTTTTTATTCAGATCAATTCAAATAACTACATTTTAAATCAGTCCAATTAACACACTTTAAAAAATTGTAATAATAATATTTATGTCAGTGCCTATTTCTTTTAAAATAATCCATTTTTGTTAATTAATTATTATTATGGTGGTTATAATTTTTTGGTACGTTTTGAAGATTTTTAATATCTTAAACAAATAAATTTAGTATGTGCTTAGTACGGATTTCGAAAAATAAATGGGCAAAAGGTGTATCATTACGATTATCTGACAATATAAATACTAGCTAATAGTAAAACATTCATTTCAATAGGACTTTGGTAACATAAGGGGCCACCCATAAATTACATCAAACAAATTTTATGATTTTCTAAACACCCCCCGTCCTTGTCACAAATGGTCACATTTGTGGAACCCCCTCCTCATTGGTGTGACATCATATGTTTTTCAATTTTAGATTTAGATATAATTAAATGAAAACAGCACTTTTAATTTATTTTATTTTCATTAAAAATTATCTAATAAAATGAACATAAAGTAAAATATTTTAAATATTGACAAACAAAATATTAATTAAAGGAATGATAAATGATTAATTATTTATTTTAACATGTAACGTCACAAAATTTTCAACCCCACTCCGCGCCCCTTGTCACACAACACATTTCGTTGATCCCCTCCCCCTACTTAACGTGTGATGTAATGTATAGATGACCTCTAACCTAAAACAACATTTTTTAAAGTTACTTATTCGAAGAAATGGTATTATAAATACAGTCAAGTAATATTTTGAACTTCCTCATATTATCCAATAGGCATTATCATAATTATAAATGTAAAAAATAGTGATTAAACTATATAAAACAGATTAGTTGGGTATCTTAATGCTGCTGATTAATAATTAATCACTCCAATAATTTTTGAAACTAGGAAGCGACTACTTTTACAAGTTCCCCAGTTTCATCTACTCCATGATGGAATCTATGAAAGAGGAGATTGTTGGTGGTCACAAGGTGGATGTCAAGAGGCACCCTTACATTGTCCAAGTGTTATTTAAAAACAGACAAAACTGTGGGGGTTCAATTATTTCTCCGAATTGGGTTGTAACAGCAGCCCATTGCACAGAGTTGTAAGTACCGTCTTCACAAAGAACCTCATTCACTGCTTTAAAGTGAAACTTCTTCAGGTCAAAAAATATCTTCTTATGGCGTTGTTTTTAAACTTTTCATGACTGAGAATACCAATAAATAGATTCTGACTGTTTTAGGAGAAGATTGATGCTTAATTATGATTAAAACGTCAAATCGCCCGAAAGAAGTTTGACTCCTCTTTTGACGTTTGAATTTTGTCTTTGAGTTTAAAGAAGTAATTCCTAACATTTTAGCTACAATGTTAACGATCTGGCCATTCGTGCCGGTACTTCCAAAACGAACTCTGGAGGAGTTGTTATCAAAGTTGCCGATGTTGCCATCCATCCCAAGTTCAATTATTCCACCCTCGATTACGACATATCCCTTCTCAATTTAACCACCCCTCTCAAATTTGGATCTAAAATACGAGCTGTTAATTTACCGAAAGCGAAACAAAAGATCGAACCTGGTGCCAATGCCACGGTGGCTGGATATGGATTGCTGTCACAAGGGGGTGTATATTCAGATCATTTACAAGCAGTTACCGTTCCCATTGTCAGTATGGAGAGTTGTAGGAAATCTTACGGGACTGGAAATATTACGGATCGGATGTTATGTGCCGGCTTGCCTGAAGGTGGAAAAGATTCTTGTCAGGTACGTCTGGTTTGAAGTCTGCCCACAGGAATAATTAAAATGTGGGCATCAACTGCTTCAAACTTTGGAACTATTGATCGTATGACATTTCGACCAACAGTATTTAAGGATTTGAACTTATCAAGTGGAAATGAGTATAGGAATTTGAATTGTCTAACGATCACGTTTTTACCCTTGAAATGTCTTCAAAGCTTCTCTAACTCTAAATACCCAAAGTTTGGAGCAACTTGTTCAAATCAACAGCAAAAACACCAATACCTTTCTTAAAAAAAATTGTACAAAAATAATGTTATATATATAAATATAAATATTTTTGTAACAGCGCGTGTCAATTTTGAAATTTTTTAGGCTGATTCTGGTGGTCCATTGGTTATAAACAACCAACTCCATGGTATAGTTTCTTGGGGCAATGGTTGTGCAAAGCCAAACCTACCGGGAGTTTATGCCAACGTTGTTGAATTAAGAGATTACATAAAAGAAGTCACGGGGTTGTAATGAAGCACATCTAATAATACTTAATATCAATAATGTACGAACTGAATTACATTTTCTTTGTTGTTTTCATTTTACCTTTAAGTGTTATCTAATTTTGTTGTNAAAAACAGAGAATTCGTAAATACTTAATATTTAATCAAAGTAAATTCTTCTGGTTCCGCCAATGCACTTCAATGATTGCATTAATACGTGATGAACAAAAAACTGAAAGAACTTAAGATTTACATGTACGATATCGATTTTGAACAACTGCTCCGTTGGATATGTAGGTGAAGTCAGTCTCTCACCCGTGAATTTAATTACAAACAACAAATACCATTTTCTTTATTTTCGGATGGAATAATAGAGCACCGCTGACCGTTACACCACACAGCAAGACACGCCACGTCTACATTGTGAGCCGCATCCTGGTATCGCCAAGGATGATATTCTTGTGTGATATATAGGACGGGTATATTGCAGCTAATGTACAACTTCCGTTATTATAATTTAGTGAGAAAAGCCGCTCCTAAATTGATTTATTTTACTGTTACATTCTGCGCTCGTTGTGTTGTAATAATAATTAGTCGTTGTATCGTAGTAATGGAGACGGATTTTTTTTGTGTTCCCTCGGCGTAACATGCTCATGAACCAGCAACCATTGTTGCGGCCTTTCTTAAGTCCTGATACTCTGTCTCTTTCTCGAAACGACCTCCCAGATATCTAGATCTTAAATCTGGCTTAATGTCTCCGAGCACCCTTTTATTGGCTTTAGAAATCTCCTAATAAAACTCGAATTACTTTTCTTTTGAGATATAAATATAAGTTCAGGTAATGCTATAACATTTGAGACAACAGACGGTTTTGATGTTGATGTACCACCATCTTAGACAGAAAATCGTAACATCGGTTAAAGATGTCGAGATTTATCTCACTTTTATTGGATTAAATTGAAAAAAGATCCAGTCTTGTAGTCCATCTTATCTTACACATATCGAACTCTCTGTTAAAGATTATCGCTTCACTACACAACAATGCTCTACGCATTTACGATTCTGGAGGAAGTAGATTATTTGTAGGACATTTGTGCAACTAGCACAGCTGACTCTACTGACAACAAATAAATGACCTTTCGAATTTTATTTTAACGAAACATTGTTATCTTTGACGTGTTAGATGTTGCTAAATGGTAATATTCGATTTTTATTTGTTTTCGTGGAAGTGGGGAAATCTTCGAAAGACACCCAGTCGTCCTTACGATTGGGTAGTGTCGGATTCCCAAGGAAGGTGTCCTCGGACCTACCGACTAAAAGCCCTCTTCCTCAGGGCATTATAGGATCAATTAAAGTCCTCTTCAGCCGATTGCGGTTATTAAACTTATGATGTATTTTTAAAATATGCGTGCGTGTATGTTCGTGTGTATGTATAGGAGAAGGGCTATTTTAGGGAGTTGGATGGGTTATTCAGGTAGTGGAGGAATTCATCACGGAGATGGGGAGTGGTTGTTAATAATTTCGCAGGGGGTAAGGGGAGTAATATTCGATCGTCGGACTGTTATATACAGGATGTAGTAGTGACTGCGACTAAACGCCTGTCGACGGAATCGTTAAGCTAAATTAGGTTATGGTATGGAGGAACTCATAGACATAGAGTATGAACTGAGCAATACCCCCTGAATTGACCACTGAATGAGAGAAAGCAATCATGCGATCAAAACCTGTCTCTTTCACTCTATTTTCTGCTCCTGCATTACTCTGACGTAGACCGATCAAAATTCTAAAAAAAAGACAGCTACTGACCGCATGACTGCTTTGTCTCTTTCACACTTGCGTTGTTCATTCTTTATGTCTTTGGAAGAACCCTAATGTCAAGTGGTAGGTTCCATGGCGGTAGGCTAGATTATGGTAAAAAGGAATTACCTAATTTACTTGTGTGAAGTCTTATCATCGCGCCAAAGGCTAGTTTGTTCATGAATGATTTATTGTTTTTGTAATCTCGGTCTGCTTTAGTAGAATGAAGATTCGGGCTATAGGGCCGTGGTCTAAGTGAACTGTTCCGTCCAGACGTTTCGTCAGCTACTGCGGCTAACATCTTCAGTGGTAGTACTGCGTTGACAACGTGAACGTAGATTGTATCTCGAAGTCTCGACAGCGACTGCCCCACTACCACTGAAGATGTCAGCCGCAGTAGCTGACGAAACGTCTGGACGGAACAGTTCACTTAGACTATGGCCCTATAGCCCGAATCTTCATTCTACTATGGATTCTGACCGTGAAAGCCTTTGTTCTTATATACCCAAATGAATAACGTATACAAAATGTAGTAATTTGAAGTTGTTAGCTTCTATATTATATTTTTATAATTTCCTGTAGTAAATAATTATTTAAATACAGCTAATATCCCTTGAACAACTTCTGAAAGAAGTAATTTATCCGCTTTAATTTTGAAATAAATCTTTGCAAAGGATACTGCTGCTCCTCTGTCGGCAATTTTCAGCAGATCCTTGGCAAGGTTTAATTGTATCGTAGCTTTTAAACTTTACAAATTGCTTACTTTAAAGAGAAGAATATTTCTTGAAATAATAAAGAAAAATGCCTTATCCCTTTGTCTTTTTCCCTACTGCTGCGGAAATAACTGAAGCGGAGATAATTTATGCGACAGCCCCCTTCCTTCACCCCGGAAATTTCAAGGCAGGATCACGTCATAAACAAAGCATGAATTTTTAAACTTGCCTTCTAAATAGGATAAAGATTCGGTTAAGATATGACAGCAGGACTGTTTTGTTTCCGTCTTCCGCTGCCATTTAAGCAATAAAAGGAACTTTTATTCAGAAACTTTTCCAGTTCGTTCTTCTTCGTGAAAAATTTATACATGATAAGGTAGTTAGATTTGAAACAAAGTACATTACGTTGCGAGGTTCGGTTACTTTATTACTCGATCTTAAACAAATCTCTTTATAATATTTCAACAGAAATAGAGAAGAACCGTATTATAATAAAAAGTATCTTTTATCTGTATCTCATACTTACGCGTCCTCTCAGTGGCGCATTGCTCATAACAGCTTAGGAGCTGCTTCCAATATTCTAAAATTTAAACTGTATCGGGGGATAACTTTTTAACGGACCAACAAGTTTTGGTGAAGATAATACGCACAGACATCGGCTGTTTTAAGTAAGATTTTCCTTGCTGGGGATGTCCAATTGAAGATCGTCAGTGGTATCCTACCAAATCCATCGCGACAAGAAGTCAATCGACACTACTCCGTTGTAGCTAATCTTGTTACTCACACTTTTGGTTATAGAAAACATAGACATAGGCTGTTTTAAATACAATTTTCCTTCCTGAGGAGTTAGGGGGATGTCCAATTGAAGATGGTCAGTGGTATCCTACTAAATCCATCGCGACAAGAAGTCAATCGACACTAGCCAGTTCTGACTAATCTTGTTACTCACACTTTTGCTAAAGAAGACACAGACATGTTGCTTTAAATAGGATTCTTCTTTCTGAAGAGTTACGGGGATGTCCTATTGAAGTTCGTCAGTGGTATCCTACCAAATCCATCGCGACAAGAAGTCAATCGACACTACTCCGTTGTAGCTAATATTGTTACTCACTCTTTTGATTATAGAAGACATAAACATATGTTGCTTTAAATAGGATTCTCCTTTCTGAAGTGTTACGGGGATGTCCTATTGAAGTTCGTCAGTGGTATCTACTAAATCCATCGCGACAAGAAGTCAATCGACACTACTCCGTTGTAGCTAATCTTGTTACTCACACTTTTGGTTATAGAAGACAGACACAAGCTGTTTAAAATATGAATTTTCTTCTTGAGAAGTTACGGGGATGTCCAACTGAAGTTCGTCAGTGGTATCCTACTAAATCCATCACGACAAAAAGACAATTGGCAATAGTCAGTTGTGACAAATCTTGTTACTCACACTTTTGGTTATCATAATTAACTTTTAAGTTAACTAATACAATAAATATTGTAATCTCTCTCTTTGTTAAATTAATTCTAGTATAATGAACCGCATACTAGACAAAATTCCACTTGAGGTATTACTCAACAACATTAGTTCAGTAGGTACTACTCCTGTCAATTAATTTTATCCCTCAACAATGAACCAGTATACGTTCGTCATTCGAAATCCACGGGAGTCGTTTTTACAATGCGCTTCTAAGAAAAAATTGAAACTGAACAATATGAGCTTATTCCCGTATATTTGCGTCTGACCCGAGCCGTTCAAAGAGGAGAAGATTTGAGAGAATCTTTATGTGAATCGAAGCAAGTAAATCGAAAAAAGAAAGGGACACCGAGCGCACTGATCGTCTTCGAAGAATACAATGAGATCCGATAAAACCTCTGCGACCAGCTCACTCGGCCGAAGCGATGCGATGCGATCCGGCAACATCGTACTCGAAGAGAGACAGCGGCCGTCGTCGGCGGTAAAACCCCAGAACCGACCGACCCGATCGCCTTATCTTTTCACCGTTGTAACCACGGATGAATGTCTTCTAATATCTGACCAATGGATCGCAAGGAATTAGTGCTTTTATCGTCTCTGCTGACTCGTTCTACTCCCCTTTCCTTTTTGGACACGAAATTAAAGTTGCAAAGAGAAAAAAGGCTCAGAAGATACGAAAAAAAGAAATAAATACAGTACATGTTATAAAGACGACAGATATTTTGCATTTCTTTTCTAGCGCCATAGAAAATTATTTCGTGGAAAGTAGATTTTCGACGTGGAGATATATGTTGATGTAAAATGCAGTTTCATGTGTGTCCCAGCGGGTATTAGAATCTCAATTTAGCCTGTATCCAACTCTGTTTCATAGATTTTATGATAAACAGTTACCTACTAGTTCTCAGAAGCATATGGTACAAAAAGGGCTTTGTCAAACACTAGAAGTATTAGAAATGGGAGTCACTCAAATGGATAAAGGTTCTGACGGCCGAAGATGAACAGATGCTGTTCTGATTCGGATCTAAAGACCGTGGTCTGTTGGAGCTGATTCCTAACGTTTTCCTTGTACGGGTGGCGAGCTTCTCCAGAGGTCCTTCTATTTCCGATGCTGAATGTAAACAATGACGAGCTTCTTCTTTTGGCTTTCCTTTATTTCGGTAGGCACATTAGACTCTGAATCCTTCAGAGAAACATTCGTAATAGGGATTGTAGAAATTAAAAGATGTCCTTCCATTTCCGAAGCTGAAGGTGAACAGTGACGAGCTTCTTCAGATGTGGACAGTCCACACGATGGCGTTTAGACCCAAATCAGATCATCTTCAGTTCTGGATTTCCTTTATTTCGGTAGGCACGATAAGCTCTAAATCCTTTAGAGAAACATCCCCAAAGCGATTGTAGAAATTAAAAACTGTGCATCGTCTACGCTGTTCATGTTTCTCCAGCCTTCGGTCTGACGCAAAGTAATTGCTCTACAAAGAATTCGTACTTTATTACAAGACCATGGTCATAAAGAGTGTTTTTATTAGTAAGGTGGCAGTTAGAGTCGTCTTGATTGCAAGTGTAGGTAGTGATTTACTGTATCAATCGGTTGCAGACATGCATGTCGGCATCTTTCGACAGGAACCAAGGGCGCTCGATGGCTCCCATTTATAATTTCTTTCTGTTCATTCCACTTCGACGAGGTGTAGATTTATGATTCAGATTCGTTACGGTTTTTTGTTCAGTACGAATTCTGATCATGTATTTATGTATGTAGACGACCTGGCAAACGTGTTCTTCGAATAAGGATAGCAGACCTCTGGTAGGTTCCTCAACTGAAAAAAGATATCAGCGATGATTTAATTACTTTCTGGAATAACGTGAGCTACTTGTCATATTTTTGTTGATACGCCTTCTAAAGACAATTGTAATTTTCGGAATTATTATTTTTATAAAGGTAATGGAGGGATGTAAAGAGAGGATAGCACAGAGTCGAATCGCCTTCAATAAGAAGAAATTCGAAAAAGGTTGTTAAAGATGTATGTTTGAAGCACGGCGTTGTACGGGTGTGAAACATGGACAGTGGGCGCTGTGGAAAAGAAAAGGTTAGAAGCGTTCGAAATGTGGTATTATAGGCGAATGATGAGGATACCGGGGATAGAAAAGGTTAGAAATAAACAGGTTTTAGAAAGAGTAAGAGGACTCTATGGAAGTCAATAAGAAATAGGCGAGATAGGTTGGTAGGTAGGTTCTAGTCAGACATATTAGAGGCAGAAACGGAAGTTAGGAGGGGTAGAGGTAGACCTAGATTAGATTACTGTTCGCAGATTGTTAAGGATATGGGTTGTTCTAGTTTTAGGGAAATATAATGATTAGCTCAGGATAAGAAAGAGTGGAGGTGCGTGTCCAACCAATCTTAGGACTAACGACCTTATGACGATAATGAAAGGTAATGGTTGGATTATCCTACTATCTATAATACGTAAGACGTAGTGGAAATAGCTATCATTGGTATTAACATCTGGCCATCTTTAAATCAAAATATTCCATGACCTTATATGGAATTGTCTTCTCACTGTTATTAATTTAAATTCATAATGAATTTTGGTTTAACTAAGTGTTAACATGTTGGGGATATTAAAAATTTGCACTTACAATTTAAATTTAGATTTGGAAGTTAATTTTTAAATTTATAAAATTAAAACCGACGTGCATGTATAATGGTAATGAATCTTTTTACTGTACCAAGCCAACGAGTTTTTCTTCATACCTAAACGATCTCCAGCAAGTTATTTTACGTTTATTACGCCTTCCATTTTACTACCAATGTGCCCATAGCTCACGGCGTAATAAATAATAAATTATATCCATCCGTATACGTATGCCTGTACGTGTGCCCATCCTCTTATGATTATTAACACTAACAAATAAGTTCCTCCTTCGTATACGAGTTTGGTAAACGGTAAAAAGGAGTTAAAGACTTGAGCTTCATGTTGCGATGGTTATTCACACTTGGTACGTAGGTGAATCAGAATTTTTGTTTTGATTAGAAGGTTCTATCTTTGCTGTGTGTAGTATTATTATTAATACTTACTATCATCTTATTTTAACTCATAGCTAAGCACGATTCAATGAAAAGGTTCTTTTGAAGAGTCGTGGATGAATGGGCTGACGGTTAATAAATTATTTATAACAATGCGCAGTTCGTAAGGCTGAACTGTGCAGAACTGAAGCACCCTCCGTATAGTCCTGTTTTGTCTACTTATACGTACTATAATTATAACAGTACCCATGTAATTTAACCCTTAGGTGGGAAAAATAAGAAATCCTTTCTAAGATAAATTTTGCATAGAAGATATTATCCAAAACAATGCAAAAGATATTTCGGTCCGGTTAAATATCATAAGAAATACCTACTTAAAACCTGAAACCTTTATGTAACCAGACATTTGAAAATATTAATGATATGGAAGAATGATTGGAAAAGGCACTTTTCAATGAATAATTGAATGATCTGACAGAAGGTGTAAAGACAAAGTCGAAAATTTTAAAATTAACTAGTAGACCTAGATTAGATTACTGTTCGCCAAACAAAGATGTAAGTTGTTTTAGTTTTCCAGAAATATGCGAAGATTGATATGTGACCAAACGATCTTCGGATATAAGATCTTTGATGATGTTTTTGGCCTCTTTGTGTGTAATATGTGTGGACCTAGAAGTATTTGAATTAATTTTGGTCTTACCCATAACTGCTTCTTTTTTTATGTGGACTATTACAGTTTTCGCCAAAAGGAATTCCCAACAATTTTATCTCTCTCTTGTCTTTAAATGGAAAGACTTTGCTCACGCTTGGTTTACTTTCTTCCAAGGGACTAAGGTCACTGGTTTCTTGCCGTGATCATTTTATATGTCTACTCGCTACCGAAATACTACAGAAGAAAATAATTTTGTAATAATCGTTCGGTCCATGTAACAAGTAACATGATTTTTGCTTGCAATAATTTTTTACGAAGACATATTCGATATTTCCTCACATGATTGGCGTTAGTCAACTGGGTCGGAAACATATTTTTTTGAATTTCTTGTGAAAGAAACTCGAGTCCGGCTGCTTGTTATGTCCACACATTTCAACTTTGCAACGTACTCCGTTTTCCTGGAGTTACTCCATTCAGTCGGCGGACGCCTATTGAATAACGTGTTTCGTTATTTGAATTAATCGGCAATCACGATCCATTATTTACTTCGTGCCTTTGCAATTTCACGTTTATTATGCCTTTTCGGCGTCGTCGTAGCGAAACTGTATAAATAATTCGGACGCGGTTCAGTACAAGTCTAGAAGTGGAACAATGAAGCATTTCATTGTGTTCTTAATTTTTATCGGTTCTGCATTTGGTAAGTCTTAAACTTAATTAAATATTAATTAATAAGGCATGTGTCTAAAATGTTTTCCATTAGAATAATTGTTTTCACTCTCAAAATCGTAAAATATTTGTATTTCAATTTAGTTGCTGTTTCAGTCGCTCTTTTAGATTTGTAAATTTATTTTAATTATGTTTTTTTTTATTCAGATCAATTCAAATAACTACATTTTAAATCAGTCCAATTAACACACTTTAAAAAATTGTAATAATAATATTTATGTCAGTGCCTATTTCTTTTAAAATAATCCATTTTTGTTAATTAATTATTATTATGGTGGTTATAATTTTTTGGTACGTTTTGAAGATTTTTAATATCTTAAACAAATAAATTTAGTATGTGCTTAGTACGGATTTCGAAAAATAAATGGGCAAAAGGTGTATCATTACGATTATCTGACAATATAAATACTAGCTAATAGTAAAACATTCATTTCAATAGGACTTTGGTAACATAAGGGGCCACCCATAAATTACATCAAACAAATTTTATGATTTTCTAAACACCCCCCGTCCTTGTCACAAATGGTCACATTTGTGGAACCCCCTCCTCATTGGTGTGACATCATATGTTTTTCAATTTTAGATTTAGATATAATTAAATGAAAACAGCACTTTTAATTTATTTTATTTTCATTAAAAATTATCTAATAAAATGAACATAAAGTAAAATATTTTAAATATTGACAAACAAAATATTAATTAAAGGAATGATAAATGAT